TTTTATAAAATGAGATGAAATATAGAAGAGTGTTGGAAATTAGTTAGAGAAGGAAAATTAGGAGGCATTAATTTAACAAATTAAAATTTGAAAAAATTAAATAAAATTAAGAAATGTTAATTGAGACGGTAGAAGAGTTCGCACAAACCCTGAGAAGTCTTGTTGACCTCAAAAATTATCCTAATTAATATTTAAAAATAATTTAATACAATAATTATTTAAAATATTCTAGAATAATTATTAAAAAAATTAAATAAATTTTGACTAAATATTTTTAAATTAGTCTTCTATAAATTGTTTTAAATTCTTTGAGTTAAATTCTTTATAAAGGAAAAATTATTTCTTTATTCTGGTTGGGTTATAAAATTATTGTTTAAAATAAATAATTAAAATAAATAAATATTTTTAAATATTACTCCTTTGTTTGAACTGGGCCGAAGTTAAAATTAAATTGAAAAATTTAAATTAAAAAATTTTAAATATTTTATCAACACTAGCAAATAAAAAGTTGTATAATTTTGTATCTTTATAGAATTTAATTATAACTAGCTTTAGAAAATAAAAGTTTAAATTTATTGTTATTTTTTAATTTTAAAAACCATAGTTGGCGAACTCCACAAGAAATTTCAGGATGAAAATGTTAGTAATTGTCAAAGTTGGGTTTTGTTAGTAAAAACCCGGACATCAATCTTAAACTCTTTCTCTAAAAAAGGGGGAGGATATCGAAGTTGGCTTTTATTATTAAAAAGTCTAAATCCCGGTGACTCAGCCCTAATATTATTTTATAAATTTATTTCCATTTCCTTTGGACTTCGATCAATTTTAAACACATTCTCTAAAAAATGGGGAGGATGTCAAAGTTGGGTTTTTGTTAGTAAAAACCCGGACATCAATCTTAAACTCTTTCTCTAAAAAAGGGGGAGGATATCGAAGTTGGCTTTTATTATTAAAAAGTCTAAATCCCGGTGACTCAGCCCTAATATTATTTTATAAATTTATTTCCATTTCCTTTGGACTTCGATCCTTTTCCTTACATATTTCTCATGAGAAAAGAGATAAAATCGCCGTTGGGGGCGTAGAATAGCTTAAGTGCTTTCTCATATAAATATCGCTTTTAAATGGTTATTAATCGGTTTTTGCCCAGTCAGTTATTATAGCGGCTTCTTCCCAGTCAGAGTTTGATTAGTTAGTTAATCACTCTTTATTCTTACATAAAATTGTATATTTTATTGTATTGTTATTTCACCACTTTAATTTACCTTCGGTTCGGAGAATAAATTATTTTGGAATTGGAAAATATTTGGAAATCATATTGGTAAATAAGACGCCTGCGGGCCTGGTAATTGCCGAACGGCAACAACAAAAAATCAACCTTTTCCAATTTTGAAAGTAATTCTTTTTTTCTTCAATTTCATCTGGTTTATTTTTTATTCTATTTTAAAATTGAAAAAATGATATTTATGAATCTAGAAATAGTCAATGGCAGCAATTGTTCTGTTATCAATCTTTTCTCCAAAAATAAAATTATGATTGTATTAAATAAGTAATAAATAATTAGAGACGAAACTAATATAAGTTCATCAAGAATGATTGGCGGCGACTGGTTCTATAACCAAAAGCAAATTATACATTCTTGGTTAGTGTGAATTGTTATTGTTTTTAAACATGTAAACATTTTTTAATAAAATTCCATTTGTTTAAATAGAGAAAATTGAGTTAAAATTAATTTAAATTGAATTAAAAATATCAAAACGACTACATTATTCTATTTTGCAAAAATATATTTAAGGAAAATTTAAATGAAAATTACTTATAATTCACTATTTTTAAAAAATTAAACATGCATTGGCAAGGGAAATGTTAGAATTTTATTTATTCAATCAAAGACAACCACAATTAATAACCAAAAATAATATTACGAAAATAATATTTATAACTTATTCAACAATAACCATCTTTACTTTGTGTAAGATAGTATATTATAATAGATTAAATAGATTTAATAATTTAAATTTTAATTAATCGAAAATGAATACGAATATTAATCTAAACAAAAAACATAAATTGTTCTAAATTCATCATTAAGGATATTGCAACTGATCCTGTTATGACCCCGCTTACGTAGAGGAGCTAACAAATACGTTTATCGCACACAGAAATACAAAGTAGATGAAGGTAGGAAGGAAGAGCTAAAACTGGGAGAGAGAACTAACTATTGGCTGGGCTTTTATACTAATCACTTCAAGGGCTGACGCCCATACACAACACCTCCCCCCTTGAAAAAAAGGTTCGGCTTCACTTAAAGCCGAAGCTTTACAATATACTCACTCTTTTACAATATACTCACACTTTGCCAGCCAAACAAACAAACAAAATACATACAAAATTTTGGGGGAATAAGGACAATGGGAACAGAAAATACATACAATATTACAACAACTACAAAAAAATACAATAATATTATCACAATTATTTACACATCTACATCTCCATATTATTATCATCTTCAGCGTCTCTCATCTTTGACTTGTTCCCAACGTTGTCCTTCATCTTTAATTTGATCTTCTTTGAGCTGGCCACACTGCTGACACTCGATGAAGTTACACTACTATCACTCACTATTGTCTCTTCACTAATATTCATCTTTTTGATGTCTTCATTCAGCAACTTCTTTTTATTACTCAACTCATCAAGACGGATTTCTTTATACGACCTGGATACAATACTCTTCAACACTTGCACTTTGATTTTCCAGCCATTTTCCGTCTTGCGCAATACTTCACCCTTGAGCCACTCAATTTTTCCACTTCGTTTATTGGTATTCTTCACTTTCACTTTTGTCCCGTTCGGAAAAGCATTTTTCTGTATCTTGAAGGTTGCCTTCTTCTTGCTCCACTTGTACTTTGGCTTTTCACTTTGCACTGACACTTCTTTCAAGCCCGGCAAACCCAAGATACACACTTCACTATTCACTACATGGAACTCTAAAAAGACGTCTTTGTCTTTCACTCTCACTTTGCTTTTGAACTTTCCTTCAATCTCCACCTTGTTGTCACCCAACCCAATTCCACTGTAATTCACTTTTTCAATTTTGGGTTGGCCAATACTATTCCACACTTCTTTATTGACAACATTTATTTGCGATGCAGTATCGACAATCATTTCAATATTCACTTCTCCAAACTTTACTTTTTGTTTAATCCATTCTTCCTTTTCTACACTTTGCATTGGATCGAAGATATCCAAAATTGCACAATATGGAGAATCTGAATGATTATTATCATTACTCCACTGCCTTTTTGGCTGATACTGTTTAACATTCAAGAACTTACAATGCATACGCCAGTGACCAAAACGTCCACAATGACTGCACTTTTTCTCAATAACATTTTGATGATACTTGACGTTTGGTTTGGACCACTGTTTTTTGCACTCACTTCCAATTTCACTTTCACTCTTTTCACAATACTTCACTTTTTGCACTGTGTTGACTACAGGCACTTCTTTCTTCACTTCGCACATTTTCTCTTTTATAAGATACATTGCCTCACTTTTGTTGGCCATATAAGTAGTTACCCCCCCCCCACAAGGTTGCACTGCGTGCAACCTTTTGGAGGAGGAAGTCGGCAAATCAAAGGAAACCAAAAGGTAAAGACACATTTCATATTCCTAACCGCCCTTTTCTTACCACCCCTTGGTTGCAGGGCAGTAGTTAACTAGTCCCCAATCGCTCCACAACCCAAATCGCTCTTCTACCCAAATAGCTCTTCCTTTTTTCAAGGTAGCTACCCAAATCGCTCACTCCCTCATCAATAAAACCTAAGCCTATAGGGGGTATTTTTTGATATTTGCCACAAACACCTTTCTTTGGGAAGTGTTTAGGGGGTAATTAATCACGATTAATTAGGGTAATTAATCATTCCATTATTAATTTCCCTTTGGCTGATACTTTGTGGGGAATGAAAAAATAATTTTTGTGACGTTTCATGGTGAGACACATTTTGTTAAAAAATTTGACAATATGAAATTTGACATTTTGAAATATTTTTAGTTTTGATAGAAAAATTTAAAAGGGACTTTCTAATTTAAAAATAAATTTAAAAAATTAAATAAAAATAGTTTTAATTAAATAAAAATGATAAAAAATAAAATTTACAAAATTTTGCATAAAATATAAAATGATTTTAAAAAATGACCGGAAGTACAAATGTAAGGGGTTTATTTCAAAAAGCCAAATTTAAAAATTGGCGGGCATTTCAAAATTTAAAAAATTTCCAAAAAATTTTAAAATGTCAAAAAATAATAAAAATAAATTATAAAATTTAATAAATAATTATAAATTAAAAAATGAGGGAAAAATTTGACAAAATTCTAGAAAAAAATTAAAATGATTTTAAAAAATGAACGGAAGTACAAATGTAAGGGGCGCAGCTAATTATTTCGAAATACCAACATTCAAAATGTCAAACGACAAAATGCCAATTTTCAAAATGTCAAGCGACAAAATGCCAATTTCAAAAATGTCAAGCGACAAAATGCAAACTTTATAAATGTCACCGACAGATTGATGATTTTAGAGCGAATAGATTTTACGAGTATCTTCATTTGTCCTTGACTAAAATATTTCGTAATCGCCTATCCGTCTGAAACGAAGAGTATAAAAGGCAAAGTTTTTATCATTCTTAACCATTTAACTCAAAAACCAAAAACACTTTCTACAATTTAAAATTAAAAACTTTAAAATGGCATTTAATAACGATCAAACTGCACCCTCTGCCAATAAGCGCGCAAGATTTCTCATCCGAGATCTTCTTCCACATTTATTCATTGACACACAAACCGGTGCAGGTGCATTAAATTTGCAAAACTATTATCGACAAATAGACTACGATACATCATTTAACCGTAAATTTAAAATAATGGGGACAACAGGCAAGTTTATTATTGAAAAGCTACCCGAGAATCCGGAGGAACTACTGAGAAAAATAATTCACGATTGTATGGATCAAACCATCGAAGCCTCAAGAAGGCAATCAATTGAACCTGACCGATTAGGAGCTATAATATCTTCACAATTATTAGACAACGACATATGGATCCCAATTAGAAAAATTGAAAATGATACTATCGATAACATTCTCAATAGATTCCAGCTTGTTTCTCAATCTAAGATAGAAAAAGGTTCTCTTCTTGGCCAACCATTCACAGTTAAAATCCAGACACTTGGTATTTCATCATTGCCAAAGAATCAATCAATTAGAGGACGCGCACCCCAAGAAAATTCTGCAATAATTACACATATAAATATTGATCGATTAATAAAAATTTCAAACCCAAACAATTTATGTTTATTCTATGCTCTGGAAATAACAAGAAAATATTTTGCTAAAGAATTGGGCGCTAAATGGAACTTTTCAAGATATTTAAAAAATGGCGACAGACAAATGGATGATGTTTTCAACCTCCTAAAATCAGCAAAAATCCCTCATGATCTTCCTGAATATGATGCTGTGGAATATGTACCAGTTGTTGTCGATTTTTGGAATAATAAATACAAGGATGCAGGCTATAAATTTAAAGTATTTATTTTTGGAAGTATCAGTGAGAAACCTATATTCAAATATGGGAACGATAATTTTAACATGCCTATTTCAATTTTTCACAAAAATAACCATTTTGATGGAATAAGATTTGTTGGAGGTATGTTTGGGTTGAAACACAAATACTGCTTTACCTGTGAAAAAAAGTTTCGAAAGTCAAAGGAACATGATTTGAAATGTAAATCTCTCTGCAGATTATGTGGACGCATTGGAAGTGAACGACCTTGTGTGGCAACAGGAGACTTTTACAAGAAATGTGATGAATGTGGGAAAATATATTTGAATGGAGAATGCTTCAACCATCACAAAAAGATTAGCAATTGCCGCCAAACAAAACAGTGTGATAAATGTGGAGTAATCTGGTCAATGAAAAATTACAAGAGAGAGGCTGAAAAGAAACATGTTTGTGGTCAAAAGTGGTGTCAAATTTGTCGTCAGTTTCACAACGTGGATAGAGGATGTTTTATTCGCCCCTTGGAACTGAAAAAAGGAGTTGATTATCGTCTGGTTACTTTCGATTTTGAGGCCACACAAAATGAAGTGATAAAAAATGATAATGAAGAAAGACGGCTACACAACGTAAACTTTATTGCAGCAACAGTAACTTGTACAAAATGCATGGAAAATGAACAATTATGGCGCTCACCTCTAAGGCAAAAAGGAAATAGTTGTACAATCTGCGGGAACAATCGATCCATAACATTTTCACACCGTCCATTCAATCAAACAAAAGTTGATAAGCAAATCGTCACACAAAACCCGCTTAAATTCTTCATACAATGGATTCTTTTTGAACTTAACCCTCAATATACAACAATGGCATTTTCACACAATGGAGGGCGTTATGATATGATTATGGTGTTCAAAGAAATATATGTAAATGGTGTTGTTCCCTCAATAATTCGTCGTGGTAATAAACTTTATGAATTGAAAATTCCCCGCAACAATAAATGCAATGAGGTTATATTCCGGGACTCGTATAACCTTTGTCCAGTCGCTCTGGGGAAGCTGATTGGTGCATTTGGGCTACAAGTAACTGAAAAACAATTTTTCCCGCATTTGGCAAACATCTCTGAAAATTATGGTAGAACTCTACAACAACTACCCCCGAAATCTGATTACTTATATGGAGGAATGCCCCCTCAAAAGCAAAACGAATTTGATAAATGGTATGAAGTTGAAAAAAATAATCAATTTTGTTTGGATGAAGCTTTGGCTGAATATTGCACAAACGATGTACAAATACTTACAGAAGCATTGATCGCCTTTAGAAAAAAATTTTCGGAGATCAGCAAAAAGAAAACTACACGACCTGGAGCAGTAGTTGAAGGAATCGATATTTTGAAGGATGCAATGACAATTGCATCGGCATGCATGAAACATTTCCGACTCAATCATCTGCAGCCTGAACATTTGGCAATTGTTCCCGAAAAGGGATATGAAAATATTGATAATCAAAGTGAGCTTGCCCTGAAATATTTACAATGGTATGAAGAAACAAAAGGAGTGGAAATACAAAGTGCACATTCGGAAAGTGGCGAACATGTAGTGGATGGAAAATATAAAGTAGATGGATATATAGCGGCAGAAGATAGGGCAATTGAAGTAAATGGCTGTGTTTGGCATGCATGCCAAAAATGCTTTGGAGATGATTTGAACAAAATATTGCCCAATGGAAAAACTGTGGGAGAGACACGTGAAGATGATGGGAAAAGGATGGAAATAATTAAAAAATATATAAAGAATGTTGATATTATATGGGAATGTGAAATTCATCAGATGCTTCGTCGCAATCAGAAAATGAGGAAAGCTTTTGCAAATTACCACAACAAAGGACCAATCAATATTAGAGACTGCTATTTTGGCGGGAGAACTGGACCACTACACATGCACTTTGACGCAGAAAAAGAACAACACAAAATTGCCTACTTAGACTTTAATTCACTTTACCCCTCAACAATTGCTACAACATCATTTCCTGTTGGGCATCCGAAAGTGATTGTTGTACCATTGGCTGAACAAAAAGTTTATTGGACAAGAAGTGAGCAGATTCCGTTCAAAGGAATTTTAAAAGTGTTTTTGCTACCACCGCCTCAACTGGATGTTCCTGTAATTCCAGTTAAGTTTGATGAAAGACTTCTATTCCCACTATGTAGAAAATGTGCACTCATGTACCCAAATGGCGCAAATATCAAAGATTACCATTGCCCGCACAATGATGAGGAGAGAGGCTGGGTCTCTACATGTACATCACTTGAATTGGAAGAGGCATTAAAAGTTGGATACACAGTTACAAGATTTTATAGAGCTTTACATTATGAGAAATGGGATGAAAATTTATTTAAAAATTATGTGGCCGAATTTATGGCAATGAAAATACACGCAAGCGGGTTCCCTGAAGGAATAGAAGGAAAAGAAAATGAGGAAAATTTTATAAAAGAATGTAAAGAAAAATTTGGAATTGAACTTCAAAGAGAAAAAATGGTTCCGGATCAGGCAATGCGCTACATTTCAAAATTAATGCTTAATTCGTTATGGGGAAGGTTCAGTTTACGGAATGGCCTGTCAAAGAGTTTAATCATCAACTCCCCCAATGAACTACGTGAGTTTGACAACAATAAATCAATTGAAATACAATCTGCTGATGATCTAACTGAAGATACTGTTCTATTGACCTATAAGCCAAGAGAAGAATTTATAATAGAACATGACACTTCAAATATTGTGATTTCCTTATGGACAACGTCGGCAGCAAGAATTAGATTATTAAAAGCAATGCAAACTGTAGCAGGAAAACTTGACTGCAATCTTCTCTATGGGGATACCGACAGTATATTATTCTCTTACCCAAAGGACATGGAATGTCCGCTCCAAACCGGTCCCCATCTTGGTGATTTGGCACGAGAGTACGCAGGATTTGAAATAAAAGAATATGTTGGAGGGGCATGCAAGGCTTATGCACTGAGAATGGAAAACAACAAAAATGCAAAAACAAATAGTGTTCTGAAAGTACGTGGTATCACTTTAACAGCAGATGTCTGTAAAATTTTGCACTTTGACACTTTCAAGGAAAGCGTACTTAAATATGCAAAGGGGGGAAACGAAGATGAGGAAGAGTATGAATTGGATAGAGGAGAAATTATGATTGAAAATCAAAATTTTATACGGCGGAATGTGAAAGATGGTATAGTTTACTCAACTAAGATGAGAAAAATATATAGACCAATGATACAAAAGGGGATAATTTCAAAAAATCTCAAAATTGTAAATTTTGGACAAAAATAATTTTTCAATTGTATTGTAATATTTCACAATATTTTTTCAATTGAATCTTTATATTTTCATAATGTTATTAAGCAGTACATTGTTATTTTAAATTTTTTAAACTGTATTTAAATTTGTTGATAAAACTGTTATATTAATAAATTTAATTTAATTTTAGGGGTAAAAGATAAGGTTATGAAAAAAGTTAAGGATTATATAAAATCAGCAAAAATTATGGTTCACACATAATCTCTCAACTGTTACAACTATCCTGTGAGGTAGCTTTTGAGGGAGGGGCAGGTTTTGAATGATTAATTGACATGTGACAAGGGTTAATTGTCAAGTACAAGAGCTATTAATGATTGACACTTCAAATATGGTAACCGCAAAAACATGTGATAGTCAAGTTCGTATTCGTAAAATTAATTTTTACCGTAACGGAAAAACTCGCAAACCTTTTGGTTTCTTTCTTAACATTCAAAATTTCATTCATACTAAATATCAATAATTCAATAGAAGATTATGTTTCCTACACCCTCAGAATCCTCTTGATATTATAATAATTTTCCTGCAATCTCTGTAACGTAACATACCCAGACCTTCAGGTTCGTTATTAAAACCTTTAGCTTTCAAAAGGTACAAAAAATTATATCCAATAAACTCAAAATTATACATTGGGACACATTTGATAGTTTTGAGTTTATTGGATATAATTTTTTGTACCTTTTGAAAGCTAAAGGTTTTAATAACGAACCTGAAGGTCTGGGTATGTTACGTTACAGATATTGCAGGAAAATTATTATAATATCAAGAGGATTCTGAGGGTGTAGGAAACATAATCTTCTATTGAATTATTGATATTTAGTATGAATGAAATTTTGAATGTTAAGAAAGAAACCAAAAGGTTTGCGAGTTTTTCCGTTACGGTAAAAATTAATTTTACGAATACGAACTTGACTATCACATGTTTTTGCGGTTACCATATTTGAAGTGTCAATCATTAATAGCTCTTGTACTTGACAATTAACCCTTGTCACATGTCAATTAATCATTCAAAACCTGCCCCTCCCTCAAAAGCTACCTCACAGGATAGTTGTAACAGTTGAGAGATTATGTGTGAACCATAATTTTTGCTGATTTTATTCAAAATATGTGATATTTCTTTAACTTTATATCAATTTTATACTAATATCCCTTAACATTTTAATAATTGTATCTTCTAATGTTGAATTTTGCTACAATTGTATTATCAAACTCATAGCTTTACAGTAAATTAATCATATAATTCTTAAAATTACACCAGAATAGTATGTTTGCATGCGTGTGTTCATCAGTTTAGATTGGTCACTCACTGCAGAACATACATATGCATCAAGACAAGCATATGGCTCAATATGCCTCAAGTCACGAGTGTTCACATTTTTGCGTAGTTTTATTCAAAATTTCTATAAATTTCCTTAACTTTACATAAATTGTATCTTCTTATGCTTAACTTTACATAAATTGTATCTTCTAACGCTTAACTTTGCACTTTTACCTCCAAAATCTGCATCATTCGTTAATTAACTTTGCATGAATTATATCTTGTATCTCTTAAATTTGCACAAATTTTATCTTCAAACTCTTAGATTTACAGTAAGTTATCTTCAATCACTTAACGATACAGTAATTTTATAATTGTCCTTAGCAATACAACAATTTTAATAATAACTAATAATTTACAGTAGAATAGTGTTCGTTT